TTTCAGTTTTTTTTTTTCCAGTTTCATCTATAAAATCAGGGGTTCGCTCAGAGAAACAGTCCCTCGTGCCTTGTAAGTCTGTGATCATCTGAGACTCTCTGCTGGAAGTCAGGTTCATCAAATCCAATAAGGATGGGTCCTCCTTGAAGAGCTGGTGTTGAGGTCCAGGCTGAGGCACTGCTCTGCGGCCGCAGATCACTGGGAGAAGAGGTGCAAGCCGGGCATCTCACCTGATGTGACAGGAGTCAGGCTATCCTCCCCAAATCCCAGTCCAACTTACAGCTGCCCCCACAGGTCACTGTCCCTGTCGTAGCAGGACCTCCTTTCTCAGGCGCCGAGTCGGCCAAGCCCGCCTGGCCTGGTTGGCTTCTCCAAAAGCAGGAGGCCCGTGGCTGAGACCTCCCTGCAGCCCTGCTGGGAGTGGCACCCTCCACTGTGCCTTGGGGGCTCTGGTCACCAGCCCCTTTGGGGCTCTCTTTGCCAGCAGGGGCAGACTGTGACACAGTCACCAGGGCTGCCCAGACCAGAGTTGAGGGAGGGAGCCTCCCCTGGTTGAGCCTGTGGGGCTGAGGCAAGTGGGACTTAAGCAACCCAAAGCAGTGTGTCCTGCGATTGTTCTGTGGCCCCATGTTCCTAGTGGGAGGAAAGTGAGAGAGAAAAGGGTTCACGTGCTCCACGACACATTTCTGGGCCTCCTGCCCAAGAAAGCCTGATTCAGCAGGTCTCAGGAGGGGCCCAGAAACCTGTGTTTTAAGATTCTCTTAGGCCAAGTTCAGGCAGATTTGGGAACTGTGGTCTTAGGCGACCCTGGTTGAGGTTTGTTCAGAATGTTTGGGAAGGATCAGAGGTTGGTGTGAGAAACTGGATTTTGATTCAGGTATTGGGAGCCTCCCTACCTCCCTGGACTCAGAGGCTAGGGCTTGGCTTGTCCTGTGACCTTAGAACCCCAAACCCCACCCCTGGTCTAGACAGAGCTGGGCAGCAGGGCTTCAAGTGTGGTGGGGAGAGCAAGGCCCAGGCCGAGCCCCAGGCTGAGGGCCCTGGAGGAGCTGCCAGGCCCACAGCTGCAGGCAAGAGTCTGGTGGGGAAATTCTCACATGTTTGCAAAACGCAGCCATGGTTTCAAGTGCTGTCTGCACGAGTAGCTGCTTTCTATTCTTGATCTGGGTCTGTAGGATCTTGAACCTGAGCAGACACGTGTCTGCATGCAACACAGACACACCTCTCCTGAGACACAGGAAGCTGGGTGTGCCTGTAACTCCAGCTCAGGGCAGGGCTCTGCAGGTTTCCCATCAACAATGGAAGCTTCTTCTAAGTTGGGCCTTCTGGATTTACCAGTCAGTTTCAGCAAGAGACGTGAGCACTAACAAAAACAGCCACTTACGGTAAAGAGGCGACAGACTTTCCACCAGGCTAAAAGTTTCAGAAAGTTTTATATTCCAGCACCAAATGCAGTGTTATGGTTCTAATCAGTTCAGGAAATAAAATGTCAACAATTTATTTGGGTCTGTGAGACTCAGAACTCCTGGCCAAAAATGTGCCCTTTGATCTGAAGCATTCTCTAAACGCATTTCCACTTTAACGAACAATGCTTTATACTGGCATAATACTCTTCACTGAAGAAACTCGGATCGTATTTTAGGTTTCGCAACCCTTGGAGTAAGTTCAGTGTAATATCCGAGTCCCTAACGTGTGCCAAGTTCCTACTGGCAGTGAGCACAGAGGCGAGGAGAAGTCAGGGAGAAGGGTGCAGGGTGCCCTGGGGAGACCAGAGCTGAGTGCGGGGAGTCCTTAGGAGGAGCTATCCCATGTGACTGAGGGATCAGAGAGGGCTTCGGGAGGGAGGAGAGGTTGGAGTAGGGCCTCAAAGGATGGATAGGCTGTTAAGTAGAGCAGAGAGGGCAAGAGAACATGCCAGGCAAAGGGGAAAGACTGGAGAAGCACAGAGCGTGCTGGAGGCACTGGGGGCAGTTCACTGTAGCCAGGACCCCAGGTGGGGGTGATGGTAGAGGGGACAGGAGAGATAAGGCTGGCAAAACAGTGGAGCTAGACCGCATGGTGTCCTGCCAAGTTTTGAGGAATCTCACAGAAATGGTGCTCATGAGGCAGAGCTGGACCTGCAGATACAGGAGCTGGTCAGCAGCACTTCCCAGTCACTGTCTGGTGGCTCATCGTCTCCAGCCACTGCTTCTCTCTGCAGACTGCATCCTCCGCTACCCCGGGGGCTGTCTCTGGTCCTGACTCAACCTAACCTGTAGGCCAAATGTCCATCACTACCGCCTCTTGATTCTTGGTCCCAACTCAAGGGAGACAATTCCATGAGCTAGAGGCCAGGCCAGTCAGTGGACTGGTTCCTCCCCGACCCCCCTCACCCCCCAGGCATCTATCCCTGCTATCACCAACTGTTCTGGTGCAGGGGTATAGTGCGTAGGGGTGGGGTGGAGTCTTAAAAAAGGGGTGTGGGCTGGGCAGCCTCTCCAAACGTGTCTTCTTCCACTGGTGGGGGTCAGCGGGAGCCGTCACATTGCTCAAGGAGGAGGACACAGAGTCATAGCTGAGATGCTAGGTTACTCTCCACCACGTGGAGGGCAGACTGGAGTTGAAAGGGAGGTTGACCACACCGATCAGACGTCTTCCACGTACCAAGCCCTGTGCTAGCTGCCGCACGCGTGTTCTTTTATTTCATTTTCTCAAGAGCCCATTTCACTTCTGAGAACACGAGAGCTAAGGGGCTTGGAGATGTGAAATAACCTGCCCAAAGCCACACAACTACTAATGGAAGAACTGTGACTTGAATGCAAAATTGGTTCTGACTTGACTTCTATGCTTTTCTGCCACATAAAGCGGGAATCAGTTAGGACGGCCTCTCACCGATGCCTCACCTGCCTGAGTCCGCACTCAATCCGTCACTCTCACTGACTTTCTCTTGCTCCTCCTGGGTCTTTCGTCTCTGTTGATGCCATCACCATCTACAGCCCAAATCTATCTAAATCTCAGTTTCCTTCTCTGTGGGACAGAGATGATAACTGTATGTTTCAAAGGCTGTCAGGAACACTAAATGAGGTGGTTCTCATGGAGCACTTGGGGCTGTGCTTGGAGCCTGGCACATGTGTGTGCAGAACTGATAGAGCAACTGATTGGCTGTGGGACAGTAGGAGCCTGACTTGGAATTTTATTTGTCTAAATGTAGGACTTGGCAAACTTTTCTGTGAAAGGCCAGGTAGTAAATATTTTCAGCTCAGGGTGGTAAATATTTACAGTCTCTGTTTCAACTGCTCAGCTTTGCTGTTGTAGGGAAACACCAGCCACAGCCACGGCATAAGTGAACGGGCTGTGTCCCAAGAAAACGTTTTTACAAAATTTCTGTATCCCAAGAAAATGTTTGTACAAAAACGAGCAGGGGGCTGATCTGGACTGAGGATTGTAGTTTGCCGTCTTCTGGTCTTTGTCTTGGCTCCTTCCATGAAGGTGGAGCCATGTCTGTTTAGTTCATAGATTCTTCTCCAAGGTCCAGCACAGTGCCTGCCATGTGGCATACAGTCCAGAAACGTTTGTCAACGGAGTGATTAAGTGAGAGACAGCAAGCAAGAACAACAGTGGCTGAGATAGGGCAGCACTTTGAGGATCCTCTGGGTATCAGTTGCAGGGTTCAGTGTAGGAAATAGGAACCACCAGAGTTTTTAAGCAAAAGGGGGAATTACAAACTTGCTGGAAGGGCTGCAAGAGAAGGCTCCATCCTGGGCCTTCAGGGATGACTCCCAGAATGTGACAGAACTGATCTGTCAGGAGAGCTGTCACCTCTGCCACATTTGGGAAGGAGGAGACTCAGGAAGCTGCCACTGGAAGCATTGACCTCAAGAACACTGTAGCCACACCACAGTGGTCAGAATGTGGTCAGAAAGCTGGGAACATCGGCCTGCAGGTGGGGATGTGGCACTTAGCCATGGCCACCTCCACAATAGACTCTTGTCACCCCTGAAGCTGGAGATTGGACATGAGGGGCTCCATAATCTTGCTTTCCAGCTGAATACGGACAAAAGGCACAGAAAATTGGCTTCTGCCTCACTTCTGCCTCCCAAACTTCGTGCTAATACGTCTAACTGGTATAGCCAGATTGACATTCATGAGCCTTGTGGTAAGGGAGTCTGGGAAATGTGGTTTTCTTAGCTTCCTTGATTCTGAAGCACAGGAGGCATCCCAGAAAGATGTGGGAATGGATTCGCACTATGTGTAGCCCAACCTATACATTCTGGTGAACTATTGCTGCAAAACAAACCATCCCAAACCATAGTGGCTTAAAACCAGTCATTTATTTTGCTCCGAAATTTAACATTTGGGCAGGACTTGGTGGGGGCAGCTTGTCTCTGCTCCATGAGGAGTCAGCTGGAGCGGTTCAACTGGTGGCTTAGCATGGTCTCCACGGTGTGAATGAGCCCCCACAGCCACCTGGGAGACCAGGTGGAGAAGAACCAAAGCCGTTGGCAAGAGGCCCAGCCGAGCTCCTGGCAGCAGCCAGCATCAGCTCACCAGCCATTGGGAAGACGGGTCCCCCAGCCATGTGGGGCTGCCCCAGCTGATGTCGTGTGAAGCAGAGATGTTCCTGCGGAGCTCTGCCCAAATCGCAGACTTGTGAGCAAAATAAACAACTGTTTCTATTTCTGCCACTAAGTTTTGGGATAGTTTGTTCTGCGGTAAAAGATCAGCAGGATGGGCACGTTGTGCTGAATGTGAAGGAGGAAGGGAAACAGATGGGGTGATCAAACAGAAATGAAGCAGCCAGTGCCAGGGAGGGGTAATGGTTGATCCAAATATAAGCCAAGTTCACCTCCCTCCTGCACCCCCAGCAGTGAGACTTACCAGCTTTCTAACTCTGATTCATCCTGAAAATCAGCCCAGTGTGGTTTGGGCTGTATCAGCTCAGCCTAAATGTTGGGCTGAATCAAAAGCCCTTTATTCTTACAACTGCTGCTGCTTGGGGGCTTTGTCTCTTCCAAAAACTGCCTGTTAGCAATTTGTGATCAGGGCTGAAAGATTTAGATTTAGAAACTGCCAACTGTCATAAAAAGGCAAGACTGACTTGCTGTGTTCTGATTTTTACAACTGGCTTCCAGGATAGCTCAGGTGATTTCCAAGTACAGGGGAGTCACTTACAGTTGTTCCAGTTGTATACTGCACAATTCTGGGAGGGGAGAGGGGAACCATTTCCATTCTAGTCATCACCTCTTGGCATATTTATTGTGAGAGTTTTCTGGTAGATGGCAGCAAAGTGTCTTGTGCTACAGTAGCTTCTTCTAGTTTGCAAAAAGGCAATTTGAAGCTAGTGGCAAGAGGTATAGGGACAAAACTAGTGTCTAATAAATCTTGGGTCAGTGGCAGGGCTTAGGAGGAGAAAAGGAAGGAGTAGGGAGGAGTATTAGGATCGGGGGAGGTCCCTTTACTCAACCTAAAAGGGCACCCAAGAGATAAGAAGTGTTGAGATTTGTGGGTTTCAAGAATCAACCTCTTGAGGCCAGCAGGGTTTTAGAGGAGGCAGGATTAGACCAACAAAAGAACAGTACTCAGGAGAAGTAGAGAGAACTTGGCCACACATTTGCCTTGAAAAGTCGAGATCTAAGGGCTGACTTTAGTAAGCAAATAATGACCCTTTGTGGAGAGATGGGGATGAAGAGAATGAATGACTATCTAAATAAAAATTCTATGGTTCTGGTGGAGGTGGGGGTGGGCTGAGGGTGGGTGGAGAAAAATGGACAGTGATTGCCATGGGAACACACTGTTGAAGTGGAAGGTCCCTGGGGCACGGCTGGAATTCTGCCTCACCTCTGACCACTCTGGTTCTGGAAACCGACATCAGTCAGGAACCAGCACCATAACTCAGCAATAGTGCTGCTTCTGAATGTCGAGGTGGATTACATGATGCTTTTCCATTTCAGACGTTGTAGATTGCAAAATCTTTACAGTTGGAACAAGGTTCTCCATTTTGCACTTGATTCTGAAAGAGAATCCCAGCCAAGCACAGCTTTTTGTTTTATCTATGTATCTTCCAAGGTCTCCTTTGGCTGTGCACGTTGCTTTTGTTCTCGGCTGGCTGTTTTAAGTACAGCTTTGCTGCATTTCCATTTTCCCTCGTTCTCAAAAACAAGTACTTATTTGAATTAGAGCAGAAAAATACTGAATAGAATGAAGCATTGCTTTCTTCCTCTCAAACATGTTGAGGTCACGGTTTAGTGACAGCAGTGACAATGATGAATGCCACGCACTTTCACTTAGAAACCTTCAGCAACCTATAAACAAATATTTCCTGAAACTCACAGGTGAGGGGGGAGGTGACGTGGCTCACACAGGATTGCACTGATTACAGTCTGATTCCTCTTTCCATTCCCAATTATCTCACAAATTACGCTTTGGTGAATAGTACTGGAGCTGTTCATATTTTAAATCAAACTAAAGTCCACTGAAGTAGGAAAATTATGCATTTTACGGAAACGATGTGGGCAAATTATTATTCAGTTTTTAACAGGGTTTTTCCATCACTTTGCTGTGCACAATGTAATATGGTTAATTTACCAGAAAGCATTGTTATTCAGTCCCTAATTCTCTAGGCAGCTGCTGCCATTTGCTTACCATTTCCTCGTTGCTCTCGGGGAATTGACAGACCTTCCGGCTCCATTTAGGGTGGTTTGGGTTCCAGGGCAATCTCTAGGGGCCCCGCTTCCCTCTCGGTATCTTCCAGCATGCATCCCCTGGGAGGAGTCTAAACATGAAAGGATTCACATACCTGGATTTAGTTTCTGAGTGGCTTTAAATGAATCCTTTTGTAAACACACACACACACACACACACACACACACACGATACAATCTCTTGCTATTTAGTAAGATTTCCCCACAGTATTACACACGTTATGCTTTTCATTAAAAACACCGTCTGAATAATACCCATTTCATTCTCTCTTACTTCCAATTAGCTACTCATTGATTATTACCTAGCAAGCCCTTGATAACTAACCAAAGGGAAAAAATTCCAAAACAAACCTATACCTGCTTTCATGAGTTCACAAACTGCCTGATGAGTCAAGCAAAAGAGCCTCATAAATGGAAGGAGAAGAAAGAATGACCATGGAGTCACTGAAGGGAGAAAACCCCCTCCTAACTGTAATTAAGAGAGGAAGTGCAATTCTTTTCCCTGCAATTCTTTTCTCCTCATACTCGATAAATATAGTTCAAACTGCATTCCAGCTGGGATGTCGGAGCCAAAACCTGCCTGAAACCTTGCTCTCTGTCCTTTTACGGTATTATCTCCCATCCCTCCAGTTAGCAGCGCACTAATCAGAATAAATGATGTACCTACATAGCTTTTAATGTCTGTGTGTGGGGAGAGAAGGGAGGGAGAAAAAGAGATTTAGATTTTTCTTTGCTTGGTTTTGGTTTCTCTCCATTTAGACGCATTTGCTGAGCACCTTCTATATTTAAAGCATGAGCTGGCCCCTAATGGGGGTTGGGGATCAGAAGGAAACCTAACCAAAGGTGAAAAAAAAAAGACCCCACTGAATCTACCATTAAGCAGTACATAATCAGTCTCTACTTGTCCTCTAGGCATCACCTCCTCCAGGAAGCCTCCCTTGAACTCCCCATTCTGGGCCATCTGGCACTCTTTGCTGCCACCTGTGTTTCTACCCAGGAGAGATCTTATTACATTTATCTTTTATGGGTCTCCAACCTCACTGGACTGCAAATACTACTTGTCTCTTGATTTTCTAGTGCTAAGCACAGAGTCTAACCCATAACAAGTACTCAACAAATGTTTGCAGAAGTAAATGGGTAATTCCTTACACATATCCAAAGGCATCTCTGTCATCATCCCATGGCCTTGAACAGCCTTGGCGAAGGACTCTTTTCATCCCAGTTCTGATTTCTTCCTCCTTGTCCAATGTCTCTGTCCTGTCTGCCCCTATTCGCTGTCATCTGGGACCCACAAGCTGGCCCGACCAGACCTTCACTTCTAGGCAGTTTGGAGTGTTTTCCTCTTTCCATCATCAAACCCTCCCATTTCCATCCCATTCTCAGTCAGGGGACTGTTCTCCGCTGGGTGAAAAAGGGAATCAAATAAAGAGAGTCTGCATTAATGGGGGTTTATATGACCCTTCCCAACTGCAGCATTTTCACGTCAGCAGTAATACTTTGTGGACAACATCTTCATGCTGTGGTTCTCATGCAGGGCACAGGGACTCCCTGGGTCACGCAGAGATTTGCCATGGTACAACAAGACCATGGGCTGCTTAACAATGCACGACCCAAAGGATGGGAAAATAATCTCAAATGAAGGCAAAAAATGGCATCTTACAAAAACTATCACGTTTTCATAAAATGACAAAGTTAGAATGAGACTTTGGAGGCCCCAGATTCCAGGGGGTACAGGTTTATTCCCATTGGTGCTGGGACAAGTTCTGGGGAAAGTTCAGGAAGTACTCATAGTGTTCACTTCAGGCTACAGACTGGGCCTTCAATGTATGGACACCGGTGATACACCAGCGAGTGTGAGCACACACTCACGAGAGCCGGGGCTCGTGCCTCCAGCTGCTCACAGCCATCCCAGTGTGCTCAGCAGGGTCTAAGGTAGTGTGTTATTCTCAGGTCTACCTCTCACCCCGCTGCACGGCATCAGCCATCCAGCCATCCACCCAGTCACCCAACGTCTACCATCAGCTCATCACTGCTTTTGGTGCAGAACAGTGGTGAACAAGTTAGGCAGTTTCTGTTCTCAAGGAGCTCATAATCTGGCAGGGAAAATGCATTAAGAGAAGAGCCATGTTATTAAACACATTAGAAGAGTAGTAAGTATTCTGAAAAGGAGCATAATGTTATGGCTGCTGATGGTGGGGACAGTCATTTGTCACTGATCACCTTAGAATAGTCCCTGTCACATTGGAAAACCACTTATTTTTATTTCCAGTCCTCAGAATTAATTTAAAAATTAATGTATATCTCTACCCACCCTCCATGGGATTCTGAATATTTTGCATGTTCAAAAAGAATGAGGTAGGATTTAGGAATTTATTATGAAAAATTTCTGAGTATGAAGATATACATAAATTATGAAGTTTCATTTGGTATTGCAAAGATATTAAAGACACTGATTTTTTTCTTGTTTTCTTCTCTAGTTATAATCTGTTTTTGAGAAATAAAATAAACATATTACTGGTACCTGCCTTAGTAAATCTGTACCCCACAATATCATTTTTAAAGTAAGAATTTGTTTGAGTTTCCTTTCTCCCCACCGAATTATTTCTTCCCTCCTTCCCTCCCTTCCTTCCGTCCTCCCCTCTTCTTCCCTCCCAGCAAGGATTTTGGACAACCTAACTGAATTCTAACAATACAATATAGAGCGGTAAGAAAGCCAACAAAACTTACCCAAACCTATTAAAATATCTTTCAGCAACAAATTGATCAAAGACCATTTTATCTCAATATAACTTGCTAGGAAATGCCTATTCTGTCAAGTGTGGCTCTCTGGTCCAGAGCCAGGACTCAAGGACCGATGATATCCCTCATGCAGGGGGCCTAGGGGCCACTCTCCTCTGCATACTGCCGAAAACCTTACCTTCTTCCGGGACTCATGAAAGCACCATTCCAATTAATATGATATACATTCCTAAGGTCCCTTTGGAAAATTCAGATACAATTTTGCAGTTCCAGTGCTACTGGAAAAATCCTCTGGTGCAAAGGTTTAGTCACAGAAGGATTCCTGTCTCTCTCCTGGCGCTTGTCAGGAAATCTTTGGCTATGTGGCTGTATTTGAGGGATTATGATCCCCTTACCCTTAACTTATCTCATGTAAATGGCTGGTTCCTCATACCCCTTTCTTTGCCATGACTGAGGCAGAGCCAAATGCATCACGGGCTTCAGCCTGCACTGCGATGCCCTGACATGTGGGATACCCTGCATCTTCTGCAGCTCTCTGGTCCTCCCGGCCCATCAGTGTGCCTTGAACGAACTGGACTCAGAGGAGAGTAAGTGAGGTGAACAGAAACATTGTGTCACATTTACAATGTCTGGGCTTTGTCAAGTTGTTTTCTCCAGTGGGTTTATTATTTGATTTTAAGAAAGAAAAAAGATGCAGCCCAGCAATGTCAGATGCCAGCTCTCCTCAGCAAACAGAGCAAGTACTTACTCACCGTCAGGTTACGAAAGACAAAAATTAACATTTCACCATCTCTTGCTGCTAAGGTACCTTTCAAGACACAAGAGAACTTTTCGGTCAGTACATTCCTTTTCCTCACCCCGAACTTATTTAACCTGCGAGGAAGAGAGGCTTCCTGGGAGGTACTGGGACTCCCTGGAGGTAATGTTTCATTGCCTGAACTGGTTGGTCTGCCTCGGCAGTGTCTTTTGACAGCACGTAAGTTTCTTGAAAAGGAAAAACCTGGAATGTCTCTGATACCGTCTTTTACCTTTCTTCTGCACCCCTACTCTGTTTCAGAGCAGTCCCAGTAAGCTGCATTTCATTAGAGGGTCCTCGAGTTAATACGGGTCTTGAGTTTTATTTCATGTGAGAGAATCCACAAGGACCTCAAAGATGAATTCAAGGCTGTATTTTGAAGAGACTGTATTTTTTCTTTAAAAAATCTGTTTAAAACAGATTTGTTATAGCTTTTTCAGATCTTTTGGAAAGACCGAGTCAAAAACAGTCACAAAAATCCCCCGAGACTACTTGAAAGTTATCCATCCTAGTGGGATGTGAAGATGAAAAACAAAGTACTATCTTTAAAAACATCTGGCATCTAGAACGTGTTAATAAATTGCCCAGAATTGTGATAATAATTGTATGTAATAAGATCTTTGAAGTTTTATCAGTTTAGCAATTGTATTAATACCAAAACCAATACCATAAAAACTTGGTTAGCCAGAAAAATCCCTGCTTCACTTAAAACATGTTGGAAACTTTCTAAATATAAAGGCTATTTCAGCAAGAAAACCACCCTCCTTGTATGCTTTCACATGACATCAGTTATCTCTGAATCCCAGGATCTTAGACGTAGGAAACTATAGCCAATCTCATCCAACCCCCTCATTTACACAGACAGGACCTGGAAGTGAGAGATTCCAGGTGGCTGTCAAGGACCAGCAGCTGAATGAGCGCAGAGTCAGGCCTGGCCTGTTAGCCCGCAGACCCACTGCCCCGTCTACCACAACAGGGTGTTCCCCTGCTTAGTAACTTCATTACAGAGATGCAGGGACACTGGGAAATGTATATATTAACTCCACGACAAGAAAGATTCTTCTTGTAATTGTCTCTTTCTCATATAAGTGGGACAGAAAATTCCAGTTAGAGAAAATGCCTGATAAATTTAAATGTTAAGGTATGCCTCATCCTACTTTAACAATCCTCTGAATTAGCTAGACAACAGCTCAGCCTCTCTGGTGGTGGTGGTGGTGGTGGTGGTGGTGGTGGTGGTGGTGGTGGTGGGAGGGGGACCCTACTCCAGGTGTTCTAAATGTTCCTGTCATTTGGAAATCAACTGCAAAATGGTTAAATTCTCCAGGTGACTCCTTACCACCTGGAGTGGGACAGATATATCCCTCAGAGAGTATCTTCCATGATTTAAACAAATGAACAAAAAAAAAATTCAAATGTAAAATGCTCTCTTTTTAATTACTAAATTAAGAAAGTTAAACAATTTAAAAATGTAAACTCACAAAGGAATCATAACAAAAAAGGAATTCAGACTTCAGAGTTGCTACTCAGTATTAAAAACTCAATAGAAATAGGCTTTTTGATTTGTTGTTGTCAAACATATGTAAGGTTGGTACAAACAGCAAACTAAAAATGTAATACTTTTTTTTTGTGCATCCCCATGAAATGCAACGTAGTGCATAGTTATTTCACTGGAGAACTCTCGGACATAGAGAAAGTCATTTCATTAGCAGTTCAGGACATTAAAACACTTATTTTACAATGAAAAATGTACAACCCCTACCCATACCTTCCTGTAAGTTTTAATTGCAAGAGAAAGTTTAGCAGGTTGCCATGACTACAATGCTATGGGTTTTAGACCATTTAAATGTGGTTACAAGGTTTATTAAATAAAAAAAGTTGGGAACATTTCAGCATTCATGGTTTTATACGGGAAGTTTGTGTGGTATCCATCTTCTAGTTGCCCTGGTAGAATTGGCCGCTTGCTTGCTTAAACAGGCTCACTTCTAAGTTTCAAGAACAAACTGTGGTAGTAAGTCGAAGCAAATACTGGAAACGGAACTGGTGGATGGAGCTGCTGGAAGAGTCTAAGTATCAGCCACCTACAGGTACAATCACGAACCAAAACAGTGCAATCCCGATCAAAAAAGAAAAAATGCAGAATCATGCTTTGCAAAAGCCGAAAATAAGTTTTCAGAATAACACCAGCGCTTTTATGTCGATTTTGTAGTCAAATCCTCACTCTGGGTCCTGAAGCTTTGCGGCCCGTGGTCTCCACGTTAGCACCCACATGGTGTATGTACATGGACGTATATATTATATATATATTCATATTTATAAAAAAAGAAAAAAACAAACACCTGTCCTGATCAGTTTTTGTTAAAACATGAAAAAAAATTTTATTGTTTTAGACAAAGAGGCCACTTTTGGAAAATAATACTTTTTTTTTAGTTGAATCAGGTGAAGACAGAGTTAAAATCACATAGGATTTGCATTTTAAAAAAAGGAAAGCACTAGGACCGTTGGCACTGGAGTAACTATTTACACTGAACAGAGGTTTGGCCTTTTACATTAACATCGATACAATGCATTTTCCAAAGTCTGAGAAATAACAAGGTTCTGTCTCGTATGCTTCACAGAGGAGGTTCGGATCTGGGGACAGGTGTCATTAATGAGGGCCATGGAAGTTCGTCAGCTTCAGAGTCACATGCAATCTGATCCCGGACGGTTCTGGCTGCCCTGCTCGGAGCAGCAGGCTACGGAATTGAAAGCTAATGGGGAGGGGGCGGGGAAGCCTCTGGGACAGGCCTCTCTCTGCAGACCAGGTCTTACAGGTTTTCACCAGGCTGATACTGGGGCTCTGTCGCGGTGAAGTAGTCTTCCAGGAAGCCCTGCAGGTACTCGAAAGTGGGCCGCTCTTCGGGGTCCTTTTTCCAGCAGTGGATCATGAGCTCGTGGAGAGAGATGGGGCAGTCCTGCGGGCAGGGCATCCTGTAGCCGCGCTCCACCTGCTCCAGCACCTCCCGGTTGTTCATGCCTGCAAAGACAAGCGCGGTGAGAGCAGGCAGCCCGCGCCCCGGCCACCGCCCCTCAGTCACCTCTCTCTTCTGCTTGGAGCCTACGCGTGGTTACAGCATGTTGAGGGCCCCCACCTCACCCAGAGTCAAACCCTGTCTTCAATGGGATATCACGCCACTCAGACATAAAAAAGGACCCCACCACTGACACACACAAAACCCTGGAGGATGAATCTCAAAGGCATTATAAGTGAAAGAAGCCAGACACAAAAGGCAATGTGCTGTATGATTTCATTTATATGAAATTCTAGAAAAGGCGAAACTACAGTGATAGAAAGCAGATCAGTGGTTGCCAGGGGTGAGGGGGAGGGGAACCCTGCAAAAGGGCCGCAGGGAACACTGAGGGGTCATGGAAACGTTCTGCATCAGCAAACCATCCCTGTAAAGGCCAGACAGTAAAGATTTTAGGTTTTGTGGGTTGCATATGATGTCTGTCACATATTCTTCATTTTATTTATTTTTACAACTCTAAAAATGTACAAAACAAAAACAGGGTGGGAGCCAGATTTGGCCTGCGGGCTGCCAACCTGTGTCCTACATCCTGGATGTGGTGGTGTGACTGTTCGTGTTTGTCGGAACTCACTGAATTCTTAAAATTGTTGGATTCTATTGAATGTAAGTTACACTTCAATTAGGCTGACAAAAAATATGAATGAAGTAGATACAAACAAATGGATAGAATGAAAAATAAAGTGTCCTTTGTTTATGCGACTCCTAAGCTCCGTTATGAACTTCATACATTAGCTGTCCTCGTGCCTGGGCAGGCTCTTGGTGCCCCAGGGTCCGAGATCTGACTTCACGCCACCACGCCGGGTACCGTCCAGACCAGAGACCCCCAGGTGCCCTAAGGTTTGATGACTTTGCGGGGGAGACGGCATCTGTGTTTACTAATGACCTAGGACAGGCCATCTATCACCCGAGACCTCTGTGACCCTCTGGGGGAGCTGCCCAATGTTGAATCATCAGGTTGCATGGAACTAATAGGAGTTGCTCTGGGCGTCTGCTACCCCTTTAGAGAATGCAGTCTTCCTGCGTGTTGGCCATCTAGACAGAACAGGAAACACCACACTTGGGATGAGGCAAATGCCCAGACCCCTTTGCCAATGACTGCCAGGCTGCTCTCTTCTCTAGTTTTCCTTCTCTTTTTTGTCATATCATGTTCTGCCATTGCCTGCCAAGCCCTTGTATGTTTTGGCTGCTCCTTGGCCCTGAGCTTATAGTCTGGAGTCCTCTCCAACTTCTGACCTCGTTAATTTATAAAAGCAAGAACCTGATTTCCAGCCATTCAGAAGCCCAGGCTTCCCCCTAGCTCTCAGGGAGATAGCCAGCAGGCACAGCATGTCCATGGAACGGCTCCCCTTAATTCTGGAGAAGGTGGCAACCCGCTGGCTAGAAGCCCGTAAACCTGGCCAGAGCAGCTGGGCCCAGATCACAACCCTGCCCCCTGGGGAGGGGATGCTCAGACTTTGGGATTTGTTGCCAATTCTCTTCGTTTTGCTGTTGCTTTTGGGGCGGGGTCTGTCCCGGCTCCTGCGGCTGTCAGCCATAGCCCTGTCAGTCACATGCTTACCCGGACCCTCTCAGGATGCCTCCTTATTCCCTGCCACTATAGTTCCTTGAGGTGATAAAATCCATGTATTATTCCCGCTGTGCTGAAGCAAGCCTTCAAGTTAATTATTCTAACATCACCTCAGGGGTGACCCTTATTCCAGTGAGAGCAGTTTGGTGCACGAGCGTTCCCCGCCTCCACGCCACGCCAGACTTTACAGGTGTCCTCTTCAGGAGGATGTTCGGTCAGCTCTGTGGCTAAATACCTTAAATCCTCCTCCAACTACTGAAAACTCATTCTGACAACTCAGGATGGGGTGGGGGTGTTGGAAGGAAGGGCAGAGGCTCGGGTTTCCAGGAGAGTGTCCTGCAGGCTCTGGACAAACAGGGCAAGAGACAGGGACCAACATTTCCTTATTTACAATTCCCAGATTCAACAAGCTCTGCAACCCAAAAGCTCTGGTAACGCACTTGGCAATGCGGCTGGTCTGAACTCACCTCATGGGCTATAAAATGACTTGGTGTGAGGCTGCTGAGTGTTTTTACTTTTCATAGGCATTGCTGCAGAGGTAGGAAGGTGTCTGAATACAGAGTGCAGCCCCAGACTCTCCTAGGGTGTTATATAAATGATGTTCTAAGCACTGTGTGGACTTTCTCAAAAAAAAAAAAAAAAAAAAGAGAGTCTGACTCTGAAGCACATCCAGTCCCAAGAGTTTTGGCTGGGAAGCCCTGCCTGGCACAAGTGACAGCCGCCACCACATTCCAGCCAGCCCGGAAAGGTGAACAGAAAGTGTAAGCACGAATCAGGACTGGCATCCTCCGAAACGTCTGCTCTGTATGTCAGTACAGTCCTTGGTTTCATAACATCTCAGAAACCACATGGCCCAAACCTGCAGAAATCCCTTGTCCCTGGCCCTGCCAGAGGCCTGTGGGAACTAGAGGAGAGACAGGCAGAAGGTCTGAACCTCAGAGCAGGTCCTTCTGGAGGTGGTTACAACCCCACCCCTGAATGCCTCCTAATGCTTTATTCTGAGACCATCCGAAACAACGCTGCAGAGCTGAGTTAATCATCCTCCTATTGCTCTGCGGCACATATGTAAGTACACGTTTCATGTTATTGAAAAACAGACTATGCATGGAAAGATTTCAAGTATTTTTTTTTTAAACTCTTGCTTCAATCTCCACCAATGGATAGTTTAATTGGCCACTTGGGTCAAGCCTGTTTCTCTGGTGCTCTGTCTGAGCCTTGACACAGCGGACGCAGCAACTTGACCCACGGCATAGAGCATCTCCCGAGGCCGCCTGCATCCTGGGCACTTGTGACCGGGGTGGAGCTGTACGTCGGCCCACGTGGCACTGGATGCCAGCAGGCCTCCCTGTCAGCTCTTCCTCGCCCCTCCTCTCTCTCCTCTTATGCCTCTTTTGCTCCCTAGGCCTCTTCAACGTGGGGCGCACACAACTGATTGCTTGTACCGGGCCAAACAGAAACAGCAATGTCAGCTTTGCCAGAAAAGCAGGATATAAGACAACGCACTTGGCTGACAATGATAATCCGAATGGGACGAGCTCTCTTCCAACCATCCGTACACCAGAG